GCAGAGTTAACCATTTGGGTAAGGAACCATTGGATAACCACCAAATATAACTAGTAATTAGTACTTATTACAGAATCACAGAATAATCAGAGTTGGAAGGACCCACAAGGATCATCTAGTCCAACTTCTGTCCCTGCACAAGACACCCCAACAATGCACCCTGTGCCTTAGAGCATTGGCCAAACACTCCCTGAGCTCTGTCAGCCTTGGGGCTGTGCCCACTGCCCTGGGGAGCTGTTCAGTGCCCAAACACCTCTGGGGGAAGAACCTTGTCCTGATATCCAACCTAACCCTCCCCTGACACAACTTCAGGCCATTGCCTTGGGTCCTGAGAGACTGAGAGTCTTTGAGAACGAGTAGATAGTTTAGCTGTTGGATTACTACATTGTGTTTGCTGCAAACACCTTTAACTGGACGTCTTGTAGAACTGCACATGTAACAAAACCAGGTGCATTGGTAGTAGCTCCATTCCTTCTTTCAGTGAAGAAATTTTCCCTACTATCCAATCTAAACCTCCTCTGGCACAACTTGAGGTTGTTTCCTCTCCTCCTGTCACTTCTGCCCTGAGACAAGAGACTGACTGACCCACACTTGGCTCCAACCTCCTGTCAGGGAGTTGGAGAGAGTGAGAAGGTCCTACCTGAGCCTCCTTTTCTCCAGACTCAGCCCCCACAGCTCCCTCAGCTGCTCCTCATGGTACTTGTGCTCCAGACCCTTCGCTAGATCCATTGCTGGTTTAAGTACATGAAAAGCTATAAATTTAGATATGTAACAATTAAGCCACATAGTAAAGGGTTAAAAATGTATTGTTCATCTTTACAGATACACATGTACCTGCAGATTGCATCAAAAAATCCCAGAGGGAAATGGAAACAAAACAAATCTGTCGTGACGGTGATGTTTAAATTTCTGAATGAATTGAATTCCAGTAGTTTAAAACTTTCTCTCAATAGTCTCTGGGTTTTTTAATGGATCTCTCTTGTAAGTGTTGTGGAGAAAGGGCATCTGCCTGTAATTTGTGGGGCATCTTTAGCTTTTGGCAATGTGTGGTCTCCTCCCCTGGGAGGATGAACTCTATGCACAAGGAGTCTGAGCATCACTGAGCTCAGCAAATGATGCTTTGCAGAAGAGCTTGTAAGATAAAGAATGAATTTGTTTACTGTTACATGGTAATTTAGAGTTAAATTGGAAAATGCTGTTATTTGATTGGAAGTTAATAAAAGAGAAAATCAGAGACTTGAATGATCAGAAGAAATCCGAATTGAAATGGAGGAAAAAAAGCTTTGGGTCTCTTTCTTCTCTGAGCTTTTGAAAAGGCTTTTAAAATATTCCATGAAATTAAAAAACATAGATCTTGCTCCTCTGATAATTGCTAGCTTTTAAAAGCAATCTAGGAATACTAAACCCAAGTGATTTGATGGGGAGAAAGATGGTAAATATGCAATTTTCTTTTTTGTTTACTGCATATTTATTCATTTTCCTTTGGTGTTTTGTACTTACTGTTCTATTGATTAGCATAATGACAGCACTGCCAGGCAGTGCTGGGGGAGAGCACACTGTGTTCCTGCCTTGCCTCTGGAAAGGAGCTTGATGAGTGTTCCAGGGGCAGGAGCTGGAATACGTGTGTGGAAGAAGGCAGAAGGGAAGAATCAGCATAAAGTCTCTCTCTCACAAAGATAAATTGAACCCTGTAAAATCCTGAGGATTTAAAGGCTGATGCATATTAATTATTAAAGGTGATTTAAAAGTTTGAGTCTGCTGAGCATGGAGGTAGAGGAATTTGTGATGACAGGACTTTAAGCCTTTGTCTTCAGCACTTTTCTGAAGCCACATGCTACAGGTGCACACACAGAGCAGCAAACGTTGAATTTCATGTGTATATGTTCCTCAGTAACTGGTTTGCTTACACTGCCCTCAAGAAGGCAAAACCATTCACCTGGTTTTCACCATGGAATTTTGCATGACATCTGCATGTCTAATCAGAAAGGTACTCATTTGGTAGGCAAACATCACAGAACCATCTACCACACACAGCCTGGGGGAAGGAAAATGCACCAACCCAAGTGTTTGATACCTCATTTGGGTGTGTGTGCCCAAAAAAGCTACAGGTCCTTTTCTGTCTGCAGGACTTTGCATCTGAATTGTACAAACGGTATTTGCTAACTGGAGGGTACCAGGTGAGATGACTGTTACATGGCACCTACATGTCTCTCTTGCTATGAAAAGAAATCACCTTGCAGTATGGCAGTAAATACCTTTTGCTGGTGTCAGGTAATGCTACTCATTTTTACAGGGTGTATGGGTTTTAAAACCCTTGTTCCAGATAGGGAATTAGGACTTTTCCTGGAAATGTCTGAGTTTAGCCATGTCTAAGATAAGACAGGAACTCTGGTAGTTGATATGTTCATGTAGTCATGTGCTTTTAACTGTGAGACTAAATTCCATGTCACTGGGTCCATGTGCTGCTTGGTTTAGAGCAGTGTTAACAGGGAATCAGTTTGGCACATGTTTATCTGCTTAGCTCACAGCTTGTTTAAATGCATTTCTCCCATGCTCTGCTCTCTCTCCAAATTGTTAAATGTATTTCTCCCATGCTCTGCTCTCTCTCTGAATTGTTAAATGCACAAAAGGTATTTTATTCAGGGTGCTCTGTTGCCTCTGGGCTCCTGCAGAAGTGTTGGATGTGCTCTCACACCCCATTCACGGTGAATGGGTGGACTTTGCCTCCCTCTGGCAGCAGCAGATGTGACACCACCAGTGTTTGTGCTGTTTGTCAGCCAGGGATGCCCCAACAGCCAAGTATTGAGCTCTTGGAGGGAGACAAGCCACTAAGGCAAGCAGGAATTTAAATCATAAACTGCACCATGCTGGGCCTGGGGACACCCAGCAGTGCCCTCATCATTCTTCTGTCCTCTTCCATGCATGACACTGGGTGTGCTGTTTTTCAGAGGGGGAGGAGGCACTCACCTGTGTGGAGAACACGTTCTCAGCATCTCCTGAGCAGCTTGGCAGTGTTGGTGTGCCCAGGCCCCAGAACAGATGGACTGTGGGCTGGTCTAGACTTGGTGTTGGTGATGTTTGCAATGACAGGGACAGGACTTGCTGCCCTGCGTGGACATTTCTGTTTTCTAGACCTGTAAGACTGCCCAGGTGGGTCATGTTGGAGTTTATACATGTGCTAAGTCTTACCTAAGCTGCTGCCATTAAATTCGGGTGTTAGAACTTCTGGTGCAGATAACACAAACTTTTTAGTCATTTAATTTCACCTGCTTTCACTACTAAGAGTCTCACCTTATGGCGTTCAGAAGTTAGCAGCAACATCCTGATACAGCATCATGACTTGTCCTTCTTAAAATGGGAGTATTCAAACGAGCAAACTGAGATCATGTGGCTGCTCCATACTGAGATGCCTCCCTCACCCCCATTCTAGAGATAAAGCTGCTATTGACAGTGAGAAATCAGTGTTTTAAGTACAAAAAGTGCATAAAAAGCATCATTTTGGTTTCACCTGCATTGCTGAGCCTAGGAGTCAGCATCCTCCTGTCGTGGTGCTTCTCCACACCTAAAGCTCTGTTGTTGCTGTTAGAGTTGCATTAAGAGTTGAAATACTTTTATGAAGCATTTCCTTTGCTATTCAGCAACAAACTGGGCTGGTTTGGTTAGTTAATCAATGAACATGAGGGTTCTGCTGCTACCATGGGGAATAACAGGGAAAATTCAATGCAATTACACTTACTGCAACGAGATCCAAGTTTCTATCAATGCTTTTATTTTTGCTTAAGGAAACAAAAACTACAAGCAATGAGGAAACTAACCTATAAAGGTAATAGTTCCTTCTCCCTCTCTTTCAACTGATAATTGCCAAGTGTTGTTAGTACAGCACAGATGAAACAACTGTGTTCTGAGAAGGTTCAGGAGAGATCACGTGTAATGCTACCACATAGCAGAGATGAACTTCTTGTCCCTTGTCTTAGGATAACCAAAGTCTATGTATTAAAATACACATATTGATTTGGAAATGCAGAAACCCAGAGCAACATTTTAGAAGTTAAATACAAAACAGTAGTAAATATGCAAAGTACAGTTGATAAGCAGAGCAGTGAGGCAAAAGAAATAAGTATAATAGTTGATTCTTAATTGTTTGCAATGCTTGACTTCTTCCCCCCACCCCCGTGTGTGATGTACTCTCAGTCTCATCAGGACAGTGATGCAACACAGTGAGATGCTTGAATCTAACTACCAAAGCACCAAAAAGGAGATGACACTGGGAGGGCTGATATCTGCCTTGGTATGTACTAACCAGGTGGTGTCTGAGAAAAATGAGGTTAAAAACATACAGTTATATGATATACAGTACTTCTTCAGTCTGAGAACTTGTGCCAAGTGGATCCGTCCTCCTTCAGCACAGGTTTCACAATGATTTCAAACAGTAACATGAACACTGAAATTACAGTACAGCTGCTAACACAGAGATCCTTTGGTTAAATACATCTGTGTGCAGATATCAGACATTTCACCATGTTCCAGGAGAGGGTTTTTTCCTTTCTACCCTTCAACAGTTTGTTAGGAACCACTGAGATTGAATTGTTTACACTTTTACTTTATCCATGAGCATCAGCACTCCTTAAGGAATAGATCAAGACTAAAAAACTCTACCTAAGGACCAATAGAGCAGAATTATTCAAGTTCAGTGAAATAGTACAAAAAAAAAAGGCTTCCTTTTTAGGAAAAACTCAGCCATGGTAAAAATATCTACTACAGTGCACTGCACTGTAATAAATATTCAACATAAATTAATAATTTACAAGTACCTGAGCAAGTATACAGAGCACCATAGCACAGCACAGCACCAAAGGCAGTAGCTCAGAATCCTTAACAATAATGCTGTTTTAAACATTAAAAGTTCTAAGTATTGTCATAGAAATGAACTCCAGCTGGAGCTGAAAGATAGTGCAAACTTCTGTCTTCACTTCTGGAAAGAAAGGAGTCTTGTTTTCTAGTCATTTCACATCAGCAGTGTGGCTGGGCCTGGATCCCTGGGGTGGGTGTTTGGGAGCAGGTCTGGTGGGAAGAAAGGGAAAAGCAAATTGTTACTTAAACTCTTTATGTCCTTGAGTGCTTATCTATTTTGTACCTGTTCAAAGATCATAGAATCACAGAATCAACCAGGTTGGAAAAGACCTCCAAGATCAAGTCCAACCCTACCGTGGTTACTAGACCACGGCACTAAGTGCCACATCCAGTCTCGGCTTGAAAACCTCCAGGGATGGTGAATCCACCACCTCCCTGGGCAGCACATTCCAATGCCTGAGCACTCTCTCTGTAAAAAATCTCTTCCTAATATCCAACCTAACCCTCCCCTGGCAGAGCTTGAGTCTGTGCCCTCTTGTCCTGCTGCTGGTTGCCTGGGAGAAGAGACCAACCCCCACCTGACTCCAACCTCTTACACTTCTATGAAGTCAGAGCAGCTGTGCTGATGCTCTGCCAGGGAGGACCAGTCCCACAACATGTGCTTGTGCATGAGCAGATAGAAAATGGTTGTGGAGCTCTCAGCAATAGTCACTCCAGACATTTCAGACATGTCCTTGAGTGAAGAGCTGTGTAAATGAAGGTATTTGGATGAGGAGAACTAACCTTAGAGGAGTGACATGAGGCTGAGCCTTTGTGTGTCCTGGCACTGCTGTGCACACACTGTGGTAACGTGCTCGGGTCAGAGGGTCTGCTGGGAGAGGCTTCTGAGGAGGGTTGGGTTTGGGGGGGTCCTGGTAGAAAACAGAAGGTCATACTAGTGACATGAAAACCTTAACATAGGAACAAATGGGGTAAATTCATAGAATCACAGAATGCTTTGGGTTGGGAGGGACCTGAAAGCTCATCTCATCCCACCCCCTCCCCTGGCAGGGACACCTCCCACCAGCCCAGGGTGCTCCAAGCCCCATCCAACCTGGCCTGGAACACTCCCAGGGATGGAGCAGCCACAGCTTCTCTGGGCAACGTGTGCCAGTGCCTCAGCACCCTCAGAGGGAAGAATTCCTTCCTAATGTCTCATATGAACCAAAATAGAAAATAATTTAGAATCATTTGTGACCATATACATTTAAATTAGTAAATGCTAACTTATTTTTAATAAACACGCACTCATATTTTAAAGCAAAGGCTTAATACTATATTTTAATGATTTTAGAATCATCAAGGCTGGAAGAGACCTCTAAATGCATCAAGTCCAACCATTAACCTGCCACTGCTGTAACCCCTAAACCAGATCCTCCAGCATCAGATCCAGACACCTCTGAAACACCTCCAGGGATGGTGACTCCACCACCTCCCTGGGCAACCTATTCCCATTCCTGAAATGCCTTGTTTCCTTTGATTCCTTACTCTAGAAATACAGGGTGCATCTCTACTGGAGCCAGAGATAACTGGTGGAGATGCAAACAACAAAGATTGAACATAAAACATTGTAAAAGTAGTTCTACAGTAAGATGGAAATGCTAGAAATGACTTTAAAATGGAAATTGAGATGACCACAAAACCAAACTGCTCCAGTCTGGTTTGAATTGGTAGCAGCTGTGGGATTGTTTTTGGAGATGCTGCTGTGCCCTCACTCTGTGGTATTAAAGGCTCCATTAATAAAGAACAGAATCATCTGCTGTCAGGCATGAGCTGATGTCTCTCCTGGGTGGTCCTTGGAGCTCTGCAAATATGGTAACATGTCTATTTGTGGTCTTCATCACAAAGAGCTGGGATGGATTACGTGGCTTGCTCAGGGCACACAAACACTCCCCAATACACCCCAAAACTCACTTCTTTGAGCTCACAGCCAAGATTTTCCCAAGGAATTTTATTCCTTATGTTCAGTTTGCCATAACTATCATTAGTGAAGTTAACCAAAGGGAAAAGCTGAGCTTACAAGCATCATCTGGTTAAAAGATCCTTTGAAAGATGTAATCAAACCAAGCACAAATTGCTCATGAATAAAGTACAACTCTTCATTATTTGTTTTGAGCATCCCTTTGTTTTCCTCCTTTTCATGGCAAATGTTAGTTCTTTCAGGAAGGAAATGCAGGTTGACTATCCAGAGGCATCTTGATAAGGAGGAAAACAGGTAATCTTAAGTAAATGTCACATATTGTCATTTCAAGTTTACCACAAACTACACCCTGAAGTTGCATGTAATGTCCATCTTACTTTTATCTCTGCAGAACAAGTACTTGAGCAAATCAGAAACAGCAAAATGAAAAAGTAATCCTATTTTAACTTATTGTTACAGCCAAATCTGTTATTCAGTATAAGCACTAGTCTTGACTATCACTCAGAACTTCCAGGGGAGCATTCCTCAATCTGGTTAGATGAGAAGATAATTTGTGTTAGCCCTCAGTGTCTGCAGCCAGGCCGGGGTGTCGCAGGAGAGCTGTTCCCAGTGGCAGAAGGAGCAGAAGCTGAGCCCAGCTCAGTTTTACTGGGGGACAAGTAAACCCACAAAGCTGCTTTTCCTGCAACAAGGATGAGCTGTAAAATATAAGCTGTGTTTTGGTAATAAGATGATGACAGTATCAGAGGCAGTCTGTCTGATATAAAAAGTAGCTGTTTCTGACAATGTTGAGGTTATGGACATAATTTTGCAAGAAGTCATTCTTGCTTATTCTCTAGGTTGCCTTGATCTGATTCCATTTGTCCTACTTGTGTTTCATGCAGCAACTGAATATTGTGACATTTTGCTTGATGGAATAACTGTCATAATTAGTTGGAGCTTCCAAACCGAAGAGTTTTTTTGCTCCATTGGAGCTAAAGACAAGCAACACAAACCAACACTACTTCAGATTCCCCATGACATTGATCCTAGAAAGAATCAGTATTTCCCATTCTGTTGAAGTGAAAATGACTAGCAACATGGAAAAGGGAAGAAGAAAAAGCTTAAATATTTTGAAAGCAGTGAATAAACTGGCCACACTTGTAAATCTCGGTCTAACCTGAGAGATTCAACGTTCAGACTTAGAAAACATCAAAACTAGATACAGCTGATTTGCTGTCACAATACATAAACAGCTTGTCCTGGCTGCTCAGCACTGCCCATAGAGTCACAGAGTGGTTTGGTTTGGAAGGGACCTTAAAAACCACCTAGTCCCACCCCCTGCCATGGGCAGGGACACCTCCCACCAGCCCAGGTTGCTCCAAGCCCCATCCAACCTGGGCTGGAACACTCCTAGGGCTGGGGCAGCCACAGCTTCTCTGGGCACCCTGACAACATCTCTGGGCAATGTGTCTCATCCCTGTTTGTCTCTCTGCTATTTTTCCAACCCCTTTTCAAAGCACTGCAGTTCAGCATTGTGTCTCATGGCTGTATCCTCCTATCCATCCCTGGGAAAGCATCTCAGAGCAGCTCACAGGGTTCCTGCTGTCCCTGCACACCCCAGCCAGGCTCAGGTAGGCACAGTCACTCCAGACACAGCTCTTCTGAGTCTGGATTTGCAGTATGTGCATCTAGATCAACATGATACTCGTTTAAGACAGCCTGGTGTTAACAACATTCACTTCATTTAAATCTTGTACCACATCCAGCAGAGCTTAATGCCTACAAACCAGGAATATCTGAGTGCCTGGTTCCTTTGCTTAGGAACAGCCACGCTACAAATGCAACCAGTGACAAGCGAAGGGGCTGTTTAATATAGACAACTGTACAGACAACTTCATCTCTCCTGGCTATCGCCCTGAGATGCAGCCAAAAAAAGAGGGTTACCATCTCCATTAAACTCTGCAATGAGAGGTATGTCTAGGTGAAATAGTGTGGGTAATTACCACTCTGCTTTTCAGATCTGTTCCCTGGCAAACCAGAATGCAGTTCACACACCCCTTGGCAGAGTGGAAGCACATCAAGCTGATAAACCTTTTGCTCTTGCACAACACATCTGCACCTCGACTTCCTCAACTCCATCACTGGATTTGGCACCTTGCTAGCAAAACAAACAGTTTCTCCTCAGGTGGGACAGCTGGAAAGATGAGCCTGTGTTTGCCTGTAATATGGAGCTTGCTTGTGCTGTTGTGTCTTTGGAGTGGCGAAGAGAGACTTCAGGATCCTAAATTTTAGGATCACAGCCCCAGCTGGCATAAAGCAATATATCCACACAGCATTTTTAAACTCATACAAAGTATAAAGGAAATGTTGTGGAAAAGAGCAGCATGAAAGATGAGATAACACTTCATTTCTCCTCACCATGTGCAGATACTCACAGTAAATATTAAGTGGAAGAAAATCAATGGTTACCTGGGAGAACCTCAGCAAAGGGTTAGCTGGTAAGGGTCTTTCAGGGCCAGCTTGGTGGCATGGCAGCTGGGGAAGGGGTGGCAGGACTCGCTGTGGTGTTTTGAGTTGTGGCAGGTCCTGTGTCTTCACAGGGTTACTGATGTCGATGATCTGATATGGCAGTGGTCGTCGTGGACCTTCTCTCTGTGAGCAAACAGCCAACCAAAGGTCATAACTCATAGAGTTGAGGTAGAATCACAGACTGGTTTGAGTTGGAAGGGTTCTTAAAGTTCTTGTTCCACCCCCTGCCATGGGCAGGGACACCTCCCACTAGCCCAGGTTGATCCAGTCCCATCCAACCTGACCTGTTGCTACTTTAAAATCCATGTCATCATCCCCTTGCTTTTCTGTTCTGTTTTGCTTTCATCTACCTTCAACTCCTCTGCAACCAGAGAAGCAATGAACCACCTCCAGAGTTCTGCTTGAGCACTAATCCTCCCCATTCAGATGTTCTGATGTAAGAACTAGCTCTGTCCTAGAGATAAAACTATTTCTTTTCTGCACTTGACATCTCCACCTTGGAAGCCATAAATGAATTCAAATGAAGTCAGACTTGGAAGTCATAAATGAATTTGAAACCTACATCTTCTCCCATTTTACTCACTGTTCTACATGACATTAAGTTAATGCAACAAATTTAAATGATATCTGAAGTATATAATACGTGTTTTCCCCCCTTTTTTAAACCCTTTAGGGACTCACTTTTTGTATGGTTGTATTTTGTGGTTTCATGATGAGATTTTTCCTGAGAGAGGTGGTGTGAACATGATGAGGCTCAGATGAACTGGAAGGTCTTGCTGGACTCACAGACCTGCAACACAAATATGTATTTGTTGAACACAACATTCTGCTTGATAACATTCCTTTAACCATTAGCCTCTTTTCAGAATGAGATTTTGCAAGGAATTTCTGACTTGTTATAGTAAACAAGGGAAGTAAAATTGTCTTGTGCTCCTGCAAGAATGAAAATAAATATTGATTTTTTGGAAGCCAGCAGTCTGTTAAATTAGCTTCTGCAATCTGTGGAAATGCAGCTTTGTTACACCCAAGAGACTATTCTAATGAATCTAACATTTAAACAGTAATGACCTCAAATATGAAAGTTTCAGCTCACTTGACTGAGTTTAGAAAAAAGGCCACGCAATGGAATGAAACTATTGCAAGCAAATGAAAATAAAGGTAATACTTCCATCCCTGCTTCATTTTTGCATCCCGAAAGGAAAGAGGGATAGAGTCAAACCAATGCCTACATTATTTACTGACAATCAAGGAAATTAAACCAGGGAAAACATTGCCTTTAATGCTTGGTGAGTGTTTTTGACAAGGCTGTTCTTTCTAGCATGTTCACAGTGTTTTTTGATGAATGCCAAGATGAGAATTGCTGTGCTAGAATCACAGAACCATCAAGGATGGAGGAGACATCTAAGATCATCGAGTCCAACCTCTAACCTGTCACAGCTGTAACTCCTAAACCAGATCCTCCAGCACCAGGTCCAGACACCTCCTAAACACCTCCAGGGATGGTGACTCCACCACCTCCTTGGGCAATATCCCAGTGCCTGAACACTCTCACAGGGAAAACATTTCTCCTAACATCTAATTCATTGTGTTCATTGCTTCTTTCCTTTCATACCTATTAGAGTATAATTAGGGCAAATGACCATACCTTAATTTCTCTATTGTTGTCTTCTTACTTGTAAACAACCATCTCATGAAAGTCTTCCTTTTCAGGTACATGATTGATCCAGCAAAGATAAGGCACAGGATGGTTATCAACACTCCTATGGTCAAACTCTTATTATCTGCAAGAAAACACACGGAGTTAACTTCTTCCAAGAGCCTTTACTGAAATGTGTTGTAGGTAGGTATACAGAGCAGGACAGTGCTGCCTGGCCTGGCTTCCTACCTGCAGTGCAGGTGGAGTGAACAAACTGTGAATTAAAGACTAATAAACTTATTTCTTTTAGGCTGATGATTGAATTATGGCCTGGTTTAAAGTTATTTCTTTAACACTGGGGAAAAGTTGGTTAAAATATGACATTGTAGGTTCCTTCCAGCTGTTCTATTTTATTCTATTCCAGGGAAATATCTGTGTCCAAAGATGAACATCTCCATGTACTCTCTCCCTCCATGTGTCCAGGTCCTGCTTGGGTTGTCACCTGCAAATGGGGCCATGAGGTGTATGTCCTGCTGGCCTCATCTACAGGGTGTGCTGTGCAATTCCACCTAGCATTTCCTTCATGGACTGCCAGGGTGGGAGGGGGAGTGAGGCTATGAGAGGGAGAGAAAAGGGTCAGAAACACCAAGATCATGGTTTGCTGAAGTTCAGACTTGTACATATTCCTCCCTCAGGCACAAACAGTGAGCTCAGCTCCTTTATAACCAGGTTTCAAGGGTTTCGTTGTGCTCTAACACTGGGCAAACAGTCTGAGATCTGGATTGCTGGGGTCCAGCCCAGATGCTGTCAAGTCAAATCTGGAGGCAAGTGAGGAGCTGAAGGAAAGGCTTCAGCAGCAGAGTTCTGTGCTCTCGGAGGGATGATCTGCTTAGCAAGGGGCTGCAGCCTGCTGGATCTCTTCCAGGTCTGAGTGCTTTAAGCTGCTCTAAGTGCCTTGCTGGGACCTGAACGAGGCACAATAGTGAGATGAACCCTGACTGGATGACTTGCAGCTGAAAGAGAGCCTTATTTTTAGGAAGAGGTAAGCAGCAGCTCTGATGGTTATGGATATGTGATATGATCATAGCCTGGAGGAGAGGATGTTGTGATTCTTCAGGGCTGCTGGCCTAAAAAAGGCTCACTCCCACAGCAGGGGAAACTTCTTTGATCTTTGCTCTGGTAACCTATCCATCACCACTGTCTCTGTCTTATCCCAATGGATTCCCAGCCAGCTGGATCTCATCCATGGGCCTGAGCTCACTGGGATGATGGGAACAGAGTCAGCACTGACTGGGCTAGATGTGGGGTTTGATGGGGACCTCACAGCACTGTAGAATCACAGAGCCTTTGAGGCTGGAAAAGACCTCTAAGATCACCAAGTCCACCCATCTAATGATCAAAGTAGCAAATTCCAAATAATAAATACCTCACTTAGCTAGGAGTTTGGAAGTTAAATAATTAACTTCTCTACCGAACAACTGAATAGTTAAGACTTCTTTGTAAGGAAAGTATAGTGTCACACACATAGATTAGTTTTATGTCAGCTGGGGAAAATCCATGTGTCAACTACAGGAAATTCCTCTAGAAATTTCCATAGTTGTGTATTCACTGTTCATTATTGAATGGAGCACTGGCTTTGGAGAAAAGTGATGAAACTAAAACACTGTATTAAACTAATGTTGAAACAATTTTCTCTTAAATTGAAGTGTTGCCTTCCAAATGCAATAATTATCAAAGGTGTCCTATATTTGTCTTCTCCAGTTAGTGTTGTCTCTGCAGCACATTATTATAGTGTATTTTATAACCCCTTTCATGTTCAGCTTTCAGGTAAGCTGAAAAAGGACCATAATGCTATATAGAAAACCTTGAAAGGAAACATTTAACACAAGTAATGACCCTTGTTCAGTGCCTGACTGTGCTTTCTTTGCTGTATTTGAAAACAAAACCTTTCAGTAGTGAAGTCATAATGTGAAGGTTTGTCATGGAAATGCTCATGATGTCATCAATCCAGTCTGACAACTCACTGCAGCATGGAGATGGAGAGAAGAGAATCCATTTGGGTGTAGAATAGCATCATTCATATGAAAACAGACACTGTTTAGCTGTGTGAGTAGATTGGTTTGTGCTGTCACGTGCTCAGACATCAATCAGAAACAGCTCTGTGGAGGTCACTAAAGTTTCAGCACTCTGGGGGAAAATTGGCCTGTGATTATCAAATCCTATAAAATTAAGAGTGTGTAGAAATAATTCTTTCTGAGGCTGGCCAAAGTGAAGCAATATGCTACAGCCAATGTTCTGCAGACCAAACAGGAAAATTGGAGTACAAATTAGAGAAAATTCATGTCTACTACTGTCATAGGTGAGGGCAACGTCTGGTCAATATTTGGAAGCTGTCCATGAAAGGTAGTTTTAATCTGATGCAGCCAGAAATCTGCTGTTTTCCACACTCTGACAGAAGAACAATATCAATTCTATTTATGCCTTTTGATTATGCAATAATTTTGCATTTATAATCACTGCAATACCCACTCCAGCTCTTCATTACACACATAACTATAGGAGCAGGTTGTGTGTACAATAAGGTATTTTCATCCCAATGTTTAAAATTCAGAGTTCAAATTTCCATCCAGTGTTCACAGCCAGGTTGGCTGAGCCTTGAGCAACCTGCTCTGGTGGGAGGTGTCCCTGCCCAGGGCAGGGGGTTGGGACTGGATGATCTCTGAGGTCCATCCCAACCCTTTAACATCCTATGATGTATTCAAGTGGAGAATCCTGGGGCTTGGCATATTTCAAGGTGAATCCAAGAGTGCTGCAATGTTCAACCACAGCAACAGGATTAGCTCAAGTGTGGGAGTTAGTTAGCTCCTCATCCCTGGCTTAAATCAATACTACTTCCTACTTATTGCAGTCAGCTACTAAACTTGACCATGCATCTTGAAAAAAGGCAAAGAAAAGATCCCACCAGGCCCACTCTGCCTTTAGTTATGCAAGAAAACTGATGCCCTCAGCCTTCCTTGGGTTTGCTGCCTAAATTTCCAAACTGGTGCTAACACATTTGGCTGAAGCCATTTGATTTACTGACTTATTTCTGATCTTTCAAGCTCATTGCTTACAAGATGACACTCTGTACTACCACTCTTTATCATGGAAACAACAGGTAAAGGCTGAATTACTACTGACCTGCTTGTCTAATGGGCCCACTGTCCACACTGCCACCAAAGCCTGGCTTGTCACAGAAGGGGGGAGCCCAGTCAGCCTCACAGTGACAGTTCTTCTTGTTGTTGCAGACCTGCAAAACAAGACAAATGGCTTAACAGCAAAGGGATTAGCCTATCCATCTGAGAGCAGCCTTGGCTGATAAGGGCTGCTAATCAGACAATGACACATCTGAGAGGAATAAAACTTAGAGAAGAAAAGAGATGTGTTGGTATCTGCCTATTGGCATCACTCAGGTGGCATAGAGCAACTCGGAGCGCAAAACACCACAGAGTGACAGGGATCCTAAAAAACATGATTTATTTGGCAGGTAATCGTTGCCCCAGCTGACAACTTCAATAATACAAGGATAATCAGATGCCTCATGTCTTATTCTCTTATCCTCTCTTTGCTTCCAGCAGCAACATGATCTGCCTTCTAACTTCTGTTCCTTCCACCCTCACAGGAGCAGGAGCCTCTCTGTGTTGCTGAGGCTGTGAAGCTGTGTCAGCCCACTTGAACTCTCCTATCCATCAAGGGCTTGCACTAAGCTATGCACTGATTTTGCCACTCAGATGAACCAGGTGCTGGAGGAACATGTGAAACTGGAATCAGAGCTGAGGAAACCCTGAGGGAGCTTTGCTATCACACCTGTACTGCCTATAAAGATACAGTCCTCAGTGTTCTGGTGGGTTTAGTCTGAGTTAAGAAA